GAGAAGGTGAAGAAAAAAGAATGGGAATGAGAAGAGGCGGCTTATAAGGAGGAAGATAGCAATAAATATTTAGGGTTTTTTTATGGTGAGTAAATAAGAGAGAGAAAGTTAGTTGAATTTTTTAAAAAGGAGAGAATTTGTAATGATATGAGATAGGGTTTTTTTTTTAATATTGTTGTAAATGAAACTTATTTTAAAAATATAGTTGTTTAATTAAAAATATTAAAAATATTGTAGATTTTAAAACTTATTTTAAAAATATTGTAGTTTTAAAAAACTGAAAGTTGGTCGTCTCTTCGTGGCGCCACGTAAATTTTTTTTTTTAAATTTTGAATGTTGGTCGACCCGGTCGGTTTATTTCTGAAAAAAGAAAAGTAAAATCTTCATAATCCGTTATCATTCAGGAATTTGGAATAGTGCCCAGAAAAACTATTCCACGGTGAAGAAAGAAGTATTAGCAATAGTACTTTGCGTTCAAAAGTTCCAAGGAGATCTTATCAACAAAGATTTCACCATACGGACGGATTCAAAAGCAAGTAAATACATATTTGAAAAAGATGTAAAGAATCTGGTCTCCAAGCAGATCTTTGCAAGATGGCAGGCCATACTGTTTTGCTTTGATTTCCACATTGTGCCTATAAAAGGAAGCGAGAATTGCCTTGCTGATTACCTATCAAGAGAACATCTCTTGAAAACTCCCAAATCAGCTCTGACCTCTCTTCCTTCAGATGGAACCTCCTCCCGGCCGGAGACGGCCAAACACTCAGCGGCCCCCACCGCAAAACAATCAGCGACCTCCGTCGCCGAGAAATGAATCAACCATTTCTCCTCAAACAGTAGCATCCTCCTCGAGAGCTGCTATCTCAAAGGGCAAAAGGCCCATTACTCAATCATCTGCACCATCTCCGATGAGTGCAGAAAATTATGTCATGGATATCCAGTTTGAAACGGTATCCAGACGCCAGCAAGGTTCTGCACAGAGAGCCTTGACTATCCAAACAGGCCCTCCTAGCCTTCCCACTCCTTCAAGCACGTTGTTACGCCCCTTCGGTAATACAACGAGAAACAGGCGCCCTGCTACGGCAGCCGCCACTTCAAGACCAACGGTTCCGAGGAATCCTTCCTCGTTTGCTCAAATCGTCAGGCCAAAGGTTTTCCAGCCAAGGCCTCCAATTACTGGTTATTTCACCAAAACTACCCTGGTGGACTCAACCATTGAACTAGAGTTCGACGGACCATCGATACAAGAAGTTTGTAAATAAATATTTCCTCATGGCTTTAACTTCCTGCCAGAGGATCTTCAAAAAACTCGGACCTTCTATGAGTTTATTCTGGTGGATTCTAAATCTGCGGAAATAACTCATATTCCAGACAGAAATGATCTTTCCAAGACCATTTACTCAAAACTCAGGATCTTCCGCATCCTTACCCCTTCCTCCTGGAAACAGGGTATGTTTGTAGGAAAGAGACTGACGAGGACCTTTCAGCCTCATACATACAACTATCGTGATTACATGAAAGCATGGTATGTTGTTTTCTTGCTGCAAGGGTACAACCATTCTTGGTTTGTGACTTTTTGTAAGCAAACTTACAAATCGCACTTCCCAAATTGGTTTCAAAGTTGGTGGACATACTTTGGACTCTCCGAGGAAATCTTTCCGGTTGAAGTTCAAAGATCGTACCATCTGTTCCAACAAAGTATCTACTYGTCTCCCCTCTCTAAGACGTTTAGGTTTGCTTTGTATTTTCAAATACCATGGATCTTTTGCTGGAATTTCCAGCTAGGACCCAGTGGCAACTTCAAGGCGTTGAGCAAAGCTTTACGCATTAAGTGGTGGGAAAAATTTGATTATTCCTACCTAGAATCCGAAAAGATGAAGAACTGGTTAAAAACCAATGTTCATCTTCAAGACGTACGTGACAAGGCAAGAAGACGAGAGTTTCCTTCTAGCCAAGAATGCCGTCATGAGCTCGCTAGCTGGAGCTGAATCTCAAGCTGACTTCAACTCAGTTCTCAACACAGTCGCGGTTCAGATCTCTGATCCAGACGACCTTCAGACGGATGTTGACTCCTCCGCCTCTGTCAACAATGATGTCGAAGATGACGAAGAAGACTTCGATTCCTTCGAAGGATACGACATCAACGACCCATATCTAGATTCACAGCCCAGCTGAGACTAGATATATCAAATGTTTAATTTAAACTTTCTTATTGTAAATTATTGTAAATTATTTTGCTTAAATTTTGTTTTAAATTTTGGATAAGATAATTGTATTCCGATTTTATCATCACTATCTCAGTTTGTTTTTTTGAAGGGCTTGCAGAAGAAATTGAGATGCAGTAGATGGCATGCTTCTGATGTGGAGTAACCAACCACAAGGCAGCGCAGGTAGCGTATAGGATTGACTTAGTTGAGAGGATTCCATATCTCATAAGGCAACCTTGGTCAAAGATCGTTGGTGTTCCTTGGGTAGTTGAGGCGAGAGGCCGTGAGTAAGACCCTGGATGGAACGTCCTAATTGGAAACCAGAGAAGCCTTTACGATTGATATATAGAATCTGCAATCCTCGCTAAATCAGAAGAAGCTGGGTGACTTCGTCAGATTTCTAAAGCAAGCATCAAATCCAAAAACAATCATATCAGCTTTTACTTTCTGTCTTTTCTTTATTTTGTCAGTTTGTAATTATTTTTCGCTTTACTTTATTTCTTTTCTTACTTTTTCAAAGATAAGATGCCTCTTGTCGGCCATGCTTATCTTTTATAAAGTAAATTCCAAAGAGATAAGATGTCAGTCAAGGACCTGTCTTGTCGGCCTTTATCTCTTTTGTTGTATCAAATTATGTTGAGACAAGTGTCAAGACAATAGTAAGAAACTAATAATTGCAGCCAGTTGCAATTATCGGTTCTCTTCTATAAAGAGCACTTGGCCTCGACCGTAATGGTACGTCAAAATTTTGGTTAAAAAATGAATGAAATCGTTTGGAATTCTGAAACTTTTAAATTTCAAAACTTTTGAAATTCTATAATTAATTAATAAACGAAAGCAATTAAATTATCTAGAAATTAAATAACAACCCATTAGTATTCCATCTTTTTAAATTCTGTGTAATATCATGGTGGCTAATTATTTTATTATTAATAATTAATTAATTTACTATTAATTATATTTTCTTTTATAAATTAAAGAAAAAAAATATAATTACAGTCTAAAAATATTTTTCTAACTTTCTTCCTCTTAATATATTATAAATATAAATATAGAATTACTACATTTTACTTTCTTCGTTTTAATATAATATAAATATAAATATAAAATTAATGTATTCCAATATAGTAGAACCAAACAAATTTGTGATTAAAACCACCCTTTAATAAATATAACCAAATACAAAATATTTTAATAACAGATAAGTGTTTAAATTAGACGGTATGTGAAACTCATTCTAATTAGATTTGATTTTTTTTTTTTTTGTTAAATCACAAAATTAATTTCTGAACTAGTTGTGGTTAATAGGCCTTTGGAGTGAATAGATTCCAATATTTTAAATCGTGTTCAACAAATATTTGAATTTTTAAAATTTCAATTTTGTATTTCGTAGATTCTAATATTTTAAATCGTGTTTAACAAATAATTTAATTTTTAAAATTTCAATTTTGTATACAATATAGATTGACAACTCATTACAAAAATTTGAATTGTATTTCAATAGAATCCCGATATTCAATTTTCTGTCTTATGTTTTCAATATTAAGAAGTAATCCAGTAAGTTTACCAGAATTATTCAACTTATTAGACACCCTAAAAAATTTGGAGATATATTAAACACTATATTTCTATAGTGTTAGGGTTTTAGCATGCAACTTGAAATTTAACCGATTTTGATTGAGGTTTTGTGGGAGGGAGACTGATAGTACAGACTTTTGACTTTCTTGGATTCAAATTTTGTTGTGTTGGTAACTCATGAAAGTGAAATCATTTTTTTTTATCACAATGTGGGGATCTTGCTCTTGAATGTAGTAGAAATAATGCAGGTTTTGCTGCGTGCGGGAACAGACACATCATCCGTGACTTTGAATTGGGCAATGACCCAATTGCTGAACAATCCAGAGGTGCTGGCAAAAGCCAAAGCTGAGTTGGACGCAAACGTCGGTCAAGATCGATTCGTCGACGAATCCGATCTCGCCAACCTCAACTTCCTTCAAGCCATTGTATCCGAGACCCTGCGCTTGCAACCGGCTGCTCCGATGCTGCTCTCACATTACTCCTCCGAGGACTGCACGGTTGCTGGCTACGACATTCCACGTGGGACTACGTTGTTGGTCAATGCATGGGCGATTCACCGGGACCCGAAGCTGTGGGACGACCCGACGAGGTTTCGGCCGGAGAGGTTTTTGGGGTCAGCAGCAAATGAGTCGCAGTGCAACAAAGTTATTGCATTTGGGCTTGGAAGGAGGGCCTGTCCTGGAGAAACTATGGCTCTACGTTTTGTGGGACTCACTTTGGGGCTGCTCATTCAGTGTTATGAGTGGAAAAAGGGTGGGGAAGAAGAGATTGACATGGGCGAAGGAGGAGGCATTACAATTCACAAAGCTAAGCCTTTGGAGGTTATGTGTAAACCTCGCCCGGTTATGGATAAACTTCAGTTCAATGCTCTGCATAAAATTTGACCCAGGTTTGATTATATACAAATAACTCTATGCTTCAATCATTCATGGATATTGTATTCATGAATAGATCATAAATTACGGAAGTATATATCATAGATTTTCTTCGATCCTTTTCAAGCAAAGGTGAAAAATTTATATGTTCATATCCTTTCTCGAATGAAGGACTAGAATTAAGCTCAAATGGTACTTCTTTTTAGTACAACAACTAAAGTGAGAGATTTGAACTCTTGACTTCTTGGTCAGAGAGGTGTGTCAATTATTTCTGAACTAAATTGATATTGGCAGCTCAAATGGTACTTTTAACCCATGCAGCTCATTTTCTTTTTCAAACCATACTGCTTGACGATGGGATGGTTGGTTCAAGGCTCAAATGATACCACACACATCTATGTTTTTCAAGGCTCACTATTATTTTGTTCAAATACCTCAAGATCCAAATCGATGAATGGTTGACTAATCTGTGTCCAACTTAGCTTTGGCTATAGTTAGGTTGCCAACTAGCGTACAATTTCAAGTTTTAATATAGATTGAAAATTGTCGTCATTGAGTATAAAATCTCCATTACATTATATTATTGTAAACCTCAAAATTATTTAGATAAATCAATTCACAGGGACGTAAGAATAAAATAAGAAGATAATATAAGATAGGAGATGAAAAGTTCAAGAGATTTGCTTAAACATTGGGATAAGGACATGCAAATTAATTTTTAATCATTTTTGCCGATGAGCTTCGCTTGAGTAGAAAGCTTCGAAGAAAGGAGGATATATCTTGAGTCAAGAAGGTGGAAACATTGTTGACACCTCTTTTCTGTTGTGAGTGATTTCTCGTATGTTAAAGATGGGTAAACCGTCTCATGATCTCTTTCTTAAAAATGGTGCATCGAACTCTGATCATGTCATGAGAGTGGATTCAGTTGGTTTCATTGATCATTCTGCGGAATTGACAGCTATTACTTACTAGTCAATGAAAGTATATTAGTTTCAATCTTCTTCAGGTAGGAAAGAATTTAAAGTTATCTATCTCTCCCGATCAAGTTGGGCCTAAAGTCTAATTCAATTAAAATATTGCTATCTAGAACTAACATTTTTAAATTGATAAAAAATAAAATTCTATGCATCCCATAAGATTCTGTAGATCTCTCTCGATTCACCATTGATTTTTGGTGACAGCTAAATCGTCGCCATTTGAAAAAAAGTTGAAATAAAAATTTAAGGAGCAAAAATGTTAGAAAGAAGGACATCTTAAAATAGTTTGAAAGTGAGAAATAAAAGTGTTTTTAAAATATCTTAAAGACAAATTTTGGGGAGAAAATATAAACTTTTTAAAATGTTTTTAATATTAAGTATTTTTTTTAAAATGAAAATTATAGAAAGAGAGTGAAGAAAAGATTTATAAAGAGGCAAAGAAAAAAAAATTAAGAGTGGGAAAACTTAAAAAGATGAAAAAAAGTTTAGGATAGAAACTTGAATATATGTTGAAAAAACACTTTTTGGAAAAACGCATATAAAATTCTTAATTTTTTTTTATTAAATCTTAAATAAGTTTACAAATATTATGAAGAGATTGAGATAAATTTAAAAAAGAGACCAGAACAAAAATTTAAGAGGCAAAAAAGTAAATGAGAATTGGAAAGAGTGGGAACTATTATAGACAGAGAAAAAGATAGAAAATTTGGAAGAGAGAGAAAGTGAAAATTAACTTTTTCAAAGAATTCAAATACAAGTTTTAAAGAAAAATGAATTTTAATTTTAAAAAACATTTTGAGACTAATTTTAGACAAGTGAAAAAAAAATCAAGAGAAAAAATAGAAAATGTTTGAAAATGTTCTGGAGAGAAATTTTTTCAAAACCCTAACTTAATTTATAAAAATCCCAAATTGGAGAGAGAAAAATTTTGGAGAGAGACAACAACGAAATATAAAACTTAAAATAGTTAAAAGATAGAAATAAAAAAATTTGAAGAAAAATGTTGAAAAGAAAGATGAAAATTTTAAAGAAAAAATACCTTGAAAAGTAACAATACCTTCAATACAATCAAATAATTAAAACAGAGAGGAATAGAATTTATGTGATCATTTTTAAATATATTAATTCTGTACCTTAAATCTTAATTAGTTCACGTTTGAGTTTGAATTGCAATCAACGAAGCCCTAATACCAATAATACTAATTTTAATTATGACTGAAATTAAAACAGAGCATGAGAATGAGAATGAGAAGATGCAAAACATCTAAGCCAGAACAATCCAGCAGAAGCGATAGATCGATTGGATCGGAGGAAACAAAATCAGTCTTGATTTCCTTGATTCATGTTGGTCTCTCTGCTTTCAAAATGTTCGTTTTTGTTATGACTTTTAAAAAGTGACAATTTTGGTCTCTATTTTCAATATTTTAAATAAATTCTACATATAACAAAACCATTTAATATAAAGTCATGGTTACCTTTCAATAAATATATTGAGTTTAGTGCTGTGTTGAAATTGTGATTGAAAAAATGAGATTAAAAATAAAAATAAGAGACTGAAATAGTCACTTTTTAAAAGTATAAAAATCAAAACGAATATTTTGAACCTTTTGAAAGTACATAGATTAAAATGAACCAAAATTAAAAGTTGAGGAACCAAAATGAACATTTTAAAAATACAACAACTAAAATGAACCAAAGCTGAAATTAGGACTAAATACTATCCTACTAGATAACATTAAGTGAACTAAAATAGAAGTTACAAAATTTAAGAATATGCATCTGCCAAAAATTAAAAAGAATAAAAAAATAAATAAGAGAGATAAGAGAAGAGAAGAAAAGAAGAACAAAGAAAAAGAAAAGCCAAAATATCCATACTTAAAAATGCTTAATCTGTAATGCATTTTTTTTTAAATTTCGAATGCAATTTGTAGCTCAATTAAATTTCTTTGAAATTTTGTTATAGCTTTCAAATATTAGCACCCTAAAATGTTTTAGCTAATAATTTGAGGTTTGAAAGCTAACTCATGTATAATTCAAATACCGAAGTTCGATTTTTCTTTACAATGGTTAGAAATAGTCCCAAAGTGTCCTAAACTCAATGACAAAACAAAGATGTCGAATACTTATTAGAAATAGTTTGGTGATGTATCATTAATTGAACAAATCTCTCATCCCGAAACGTTTTCCTATTTTTAAGGTGAAACGTGTTCCAACGAGAGACGTATTGATCTTGACAAAGAATTAGCTACTTCTTACCCTTTACTCGTAACCCTAATCTTGAAAAGAATTATTCAATGATACCTCTCCAATATGATTATTTTCTAATAACTATTGGGTATAGATTCAAAATCTATACTCTCAAATAACAAATACAATTTTTTAACTCCCTCTCTATAAAATAAAATAATTTATCACTCATATTGTTTCAAGTTTTTAGCTCCCCAAATAATTTATGGTTATTTTAAGAGTGAAGGGTCCGATGGACTATATTTAATTCATTTATAAATATATGAATAATTATTTTAGATTAAAAATATATAAATACTAAACTTTAAAAGTTTTTTTATTTGTTCGTCATACCATTGAGGGATTAAATATATCAAAAGTGTTCCCTCTACAAAAATCGCGGACTTCCCCACATTTACTCCGTATTGGTAGCATCAAATACTTGTCATTGTCTGCTCAAGAGAGACCAATATACATTATCTTACATTTTACTGAAATAAATTATTTTAAAATTGGAAGATTTTCGAGAAAAAGTAAAAGATTGCATGAAAAGATAGTATTCAGTAAAAAAAAAGTTTTTTCTCCTACAGAATATAAGAGTGAAGATTCGAACTCACAACCTTCACATTTGGTTGAAATACGCTTAGGTTGATTAACTTTGTGTAAGAAATTTAAATTTATTATTAGGTTGTGATTATAACTAAAATAACAACACTTTTCTAATATATTTAAAATCTACCATATTTTGCTAACTATGTTTCAAAAGTTACCACAATTACCCAGTAGCCCTAATCCCACCCTTTCCTAAGAAATCTTTTTGGTGGTTCTCAAAGTGAGTGGACTATATGTATTCTTATGTATTAACAAACTATTTTAGTTAATTAACAGCTTATAACCAACAATTAATATACCTAAGACAATATTTCCACGTTAATATTGTCAAAGTAAAAATAAAAAAAATCCATGTTAATTGATATTTCTATTATATCATATAAATATTGATGAAATATAAAAAGTACAAAATATCATTCTAATAATAAAAATTTTATTCACTTACGAGTCTGATCATCTTTACAACTGTATCTAGTTACACTTTTAAAATATCTAGTAAATATTGTATTTATTTAGTTCCACTATTTTAAAATGTTTCCATTAAATATCTTAGAATTAATATTACAGTAGCATACTGACTATATTATTCAGGTGGCAGGTTGACTAATTTTTATTTATTTATTTTTTGAGATCGGTAGGTTGATTAATTTTAAATAGATTCAAATGGTTGTGGCGTAGGTTTAAACAAATGAAAGTTTGATCATGAATCATGTGTCGGACATATAGAAAAATGACTTATTAGAAATTTAGGACATGTTTGATAGAAAATTTAGATTATGGTTCTTATTTTCAAATTCACTTAATCAATAAATATCGGTTTGGTGAGTTATTTAAAAAAACAGCTTTTGAATTTTGTAATCTAAATAGTGTAAATTTTGAAAACAATTTTTTTATATTTTCAATCTTTTCATATTTCAAATTCAAAACTTTAAAATAGAGAATTATATTTAAAAAGATAAAAACTTTGTATTTCACGTTAGAAACTCATTTTAATTTTGTTAAAATTAAAACATGTAAAATATAATATATATTATAAAATTATAAAATATTGATTATAACAGAATCTATAATATTTATGTTAATAAATTAATTAATAATATTTAAAATTAAACTAGATATTTATAATATTATGTAACTAATAAAGTTACAAATATATTACATAACATCTTAATTATTACTTTTTAAGATTAAGATTCAATTTTCATGTATCTTCCCAAACACATTTTAAAAAATATGGAATACAACTTTGTTGTCATCGAATTATTTATTTTCAAATTTAAGATTTCACCAAATTGCATGTTTAATTGTTTAATTGTTTTCTTAACTTCTACTATATATATATATTTGGTAAATATTCATTGGTAATATTTTATCTATTTATTTCTTCGAGACCTTGATAATAGATATCTCAATCAAGAAAAAATTCCTTTCAAACCGCCAAAAAGAAACTAAAATGGATTCTCTCTCTGTTTTCGCTCTGCTCCTCTTCGCACTCGCCTCAATCCTTTTTCGGCAGCAGATCAGAGCCCCGCGGCGGAATCTACCGCCGAGCCCGCCGTCTGTTCCGATCATCGGCCACCTCCGCCTCCTCCGCCGCCCCGTCCACCGCAACTTCCAGAAGATCGCCGCCGAATACGGCCCCATTTTCTCTCTCAGATTCGGATCTCGCCTCGCCGTCGTAGTCTCTTCACTCGACACAGCCGAAGAATGCCTAACGAAGAACGACGTCGTCTTCGCCAACCGGCCGCGCCTCATCATCGGCAAGCACCTCGGCTACAACCACACCACCATGGCCGCCGCGCCGTACGGCGCCCACTGGCGGAACCTCCGGCGCCTCACCGCCAGCGAGCTCTTCTCCACGGCCCGCCTCGGCTCCTCTCTGAGCATCCGGAAGGAGGAAATCCGGCGGGTGCTGCTGAAGCTCCGGGCCGGGTCGGGGTCCGGGTCGGGCGGGGACTTCGCGAAGGCGGAGTTGAAATCGATGTTCTCGGAGGTGACGTTCAACGTGGTGATGAGGATGGTGGCCGGAAAACGGTACTACGGCGAGGAGGTCTCCGACGAGGCGGAGGCGCGTGAGTTCAGTGAGCTGATGGAGGAGATTTCGTGCCACGGAGGAGCGTCGAACTGGGTGGATTTCATGCCGATTCTGAGATGGATTGGGTGCGACGGCGGATATGAAAGGAATTTGGCGAAATTGATGAAGAGGACGGATAAATTCATGGAGGCGCTGGTTGAAGAAGCGCGGCACAACAAGAAGAATTCAGCGATTGAGAGGAAGAATTGTTGTTCTCTGCTGGATCGTCTTCTGGAATTGCAGGAGTCGGAACCACAGTATTATACCGATCAGATTGTTAAAGGCCTCGTTCTGGTTAGCAATTTTATTGATTTCATTTAATTGCCTTCAATTAACTCCTTAATTGAATTTTTCTGGTAAGGATTTAGTTGGAAAAATATTGCTAAAATTACATGGATTTTGGAAAATACTGGGCTTTTTTTTAAGATTGGATGCTTGAGTTGTTTCACACCCAAGAAAGAGAAATAAAAAACAAATGTTTTTTTTTATTGTAAACTTTTCAATCGTGGTGTTATATCCATATATTTTTATATGTTTAAATTGATAAATTAAGACTAACCAAACGTGTCTATGGACTAGAAATACTAAGATTGTTTAGTGGAGGGATTAAATTGTTACCATTTCTAAATTTTTTTTAGCTAAGAATGCAATCAATTTAAAATTACAAGACTAAAGGGTTATTTAAGTGAAAATATAGATACTAAAAAGTATTTTTTTATTGTAATAAATAAAAATTACTTTTAAATATTCAATTCTTTAATTTTATCTTATCATTGAATTTAAAAAAAGAAAAAAAGTGTCTAAGTAATTTGGATCTTAACATGTCTTTTCAAAACGGTCTTTTAAGCTCACCAATCTTTACCCGTCTTGTTTAAACTTGTTGGTTTTTTCCTTCTTTTTTTGTTTTTTTTTTAAATTTGTTGAATTCATCAATATACATCTCAAAATCAAATCAATTGGTAAAAATGGAAGTAGCACATAGATCTTATCAACTCTGTTAGGTCATTTGATCTTTTGACGTGGGATACTTAATACTGACCGAATCCGAATTGAATAACCTAAACAGTAAACTTCATGAACTACGAATAACAAGAAGAAAAATGGAAGAATTTAATTAGTTCACACTCACTTTCTTGGAGTCAAATTTTGTTGTGTTCATGGTAACCATGAAAGTGAAATAATTTTTGATCGAGTGTGAGTATCTCTTCTCATTGAATGCAGTAGAATATGCAGGTTTTGCTGCGTGCAGGAACAGACTCGACGTCCGTGACCATGAACTGGGCAATGACCCAATTGCTCAACAATCCAGAAGTGTTGACGAAAGCCAAAGCTGAGTTGGACACAAAGGTTGGTCAAGATCGACTCGTCGACGAATCCGATCTCGCCAACCTCAAATACCTCCAAGCCATTGTTTTCGAGACCCTCCGCTTGCACCCGCCTGCTCCGATGCTCATCGCACATTACTCCTCCTCCGACTGCACAGTCGCTGGCTACCACATTCCACATGACACAATATTGTTGGTCAATGCGTGGGCGATTCATCGAGACCCGAAGCTGTGGGACGACCCGACGAGCTTTCGGCCGGAGAGGTTTCTGGGATCAGCAGCAAATGAGTTGCTGTCCAACAAACTTATTGCATTTGGGCTCGGAAGGAGGGCCTGTCCTGGAGCAACTATGGGCGAACGGTTTGTGGGACTCACATTGGCGCTGATGATTCAATGTTATGAGTGGAAGAAAAGTGGAGAAGAAAATATTGACATGGGAGAGGGCGGCGGCATTACCATTCTCAAAGCTAAGCCTTTGGAAGTTATGTGTAAAGCTCGCCCTGTTATGGATAAAGTTCATGTTAAAGCGTAATTTTTTTTACCTACAACATCTGAGGTGGAGGATCGAATTCACAATTTCTTAATCGGAGATATATACTAGTTACTTTTGAGTTATAATCAGTTTGACATATATTTTAATTATGCTAAACTTAACTAAAAGAACTCATGTTTAAAAAAAAATAATAAATAACTCTTATTTGCATATATTTGTATCCTTTCTAGATGTTATATTCTTGAATATATCATAACTTATTGAAGTATATATCATATATTTTCTTGATAAGAAAATTTTATAGGTTTTTCTTGACTGAAGCACCCTATAAAGTTCAAATAATAGTAATAAAAATTAGAAAGACATACCAAATAGTATTAAATGTTTGACACAAATTTTAAAGAGCCACAAGTTAAAAATAAAAATTTTTAAGAAAACGAAGTTTGTTTTTTTAAGTACAATAATTGAGGGTAAGAGAAGAAAAATTTGATGAGAAAAAAAGGTATAAAATTGACATTTGAATGTGTTTTAAAAAAACTAAAGATAGAAGTTTAAGAGAAATTAATATATAAATTTTTTTAACCACTGAGTTATTTTGAAATTAAAATATTAGAAGAGGTGGAGTAAAATTTTGGAGAGCACCGAGGACAAAATTATCCAAAATAACATAAAATAAATATGTATTTATAAAAATATCTTACCTTTTGTTTTTCTTTGAATGGCACAAAAATAATATTTGGTTGATCTTACCTGGTATAAATTTGTAATTTTATGTCATTTTTATAAAATTTTAAACCTTAAATACATATTTTTTCATGGGCTATTTTTGTAATTCCCTAAAATAAAAAGAATAAGAGGAAAAAAATGTTAGGAGCGATAGAGTATGACGTCAAAAATTTCATCATCAATTTAGTCATTTTATCGACGATAATGTCAACCTAAATATAACTCAACTGATTAAGACATCTATCTCCGACCAAAACGTTGTGAGTTCGAATCTCTACCTTGATATGTTGTACTAAAAAAAAGAAAATTATCCGAGTGTATATCTGCAAAAATTGTGATAATGTGATCGTAATAGAACACTTGAGAGGGTAAATGAGTAAATTCAATGCGACTGAAGTATAATAGAAAACCAAACTCTTTTACGACTCCTAATGCGGCTGCCTTAGATTAAGGTAATACGAATATATTAAGCCCATTTTATAACTATTTTTATTTTCAGTTTTTAATTTTTCTATTTTTTGTTTTCAAAAAGCAAAAATTATTCAGATTTGATGACTATTTTTTTAAAAGTTAGAGAGATAGAAGGATGTGCTAGAGTGAGGAAATATGAGGATATTGAGAAATAAAAGTTTGGAGAAAGAGAGAAATTTGTTAGGGAGTAAAGTTAGAGAAATAATATTAATTAAAAAAAAGAAAGAAATGTTAGAAAGAGAACAGTTAAAGGGTGATAAATAAGTTAGAGACAATATATTAAAGATAGAATATTATTAATTAGAGAAAGCAAAAGAAATGTTTGTAGTAGAATATAGCTTAGTGGTAATTGGCACCTATTTTATTTCTCGAAATTAGATGTTCAAATCCCCTACCTCCAATTTGTTGTACTAAAATAAATGTTAGCAAGATTTTCACTAAGGTTTTACTTATATAATATTTTATTTATATTATGCCAAGTTTGCAATTATCCTATAGGCCGGGTACACATTCTCTTTACAAGATTAAGCATTTAAAAGATTAAGATTAAGGTAAAATTAAGAATTTAAAAGATTAAAAACCAAGTTGTGAAAAGCAAGATTAAGAACAACTTCATACATTTAGCCTTTTACTTACATTTTTTAAAAAATATTTACTAAAATTCTCTCATAATCTTAATAGAATCAAATATGTGGTAAATGTGGAGACTCATAAAAATTTCTAGAACTGCGGGTACATATTCTCTTTATTTAATACTAATATTTCCTCTTATAAACAATTCTTTAATATTGTTAGACCACACATTATTTTTAAATAATACTAACTTGGTTGGTAATTATGAATGAGAATAATATTCATACTCCTATAGGCTAAACTTCGACAAGAGTTTTATCCACCCCACTAGTCGCGTAGGGTCATGTTCAAGGAAGTCCTTCAAAGGAGGCAAATATACATAAAAAGAGGGGGAAAACCAATTCTTAATTGTTGGTACTAAAAATAGTCAAAGCGAGGTTAGCTCATGATAATTGACATATATCTCCAACCAAGAGGTGATTTAGTAGCCTGAACTCACCAAAGCTCTTACTCAAACGTGTGATTACAGGCACCTATCACCCGGCACAATAGCACCACTAAACTTGGTGGTTGTTGCCACTCACGGGTTCCATATCTCCTTCCCTTTTTCTCGGCCCCACAAATGGAAAAAACTCCCCATGAAAAGAGTTGATGACCTTTCACATACTTCATATTACTTAATATTATTATTTAATTATTTTCCAGTAGTCCAACTTTAGCAACATTAGTTTTTATTCTTCCTAACTTTGTATTACATTACAGTAATCCACATATCATAACATAAACTATCAAATGTATTATGTAAAAGATCAAATATGTTTCTAATATAAGAAAAAATAGATGATGGAAACACACCCAAAATCAGTATGAATATTATAAACGAGCATACAGTTATGAGAACTTTTTTCATTACTTTCAATAAGTATTAGATTACTCTTAGCTCACATAATATGAAAAGATTGGTTCATTGACTTGTACAAACATAGTTTAAGCAGTCATTTGAAATAACCATATTCTGCGGTTCCTCATAAATTTGAGCTCATTAAGATATTATTCATCCGTCAGTCTAAAAGTCAAAAATTCGAATCTTCGTTTGGAGGAGAATAATGTGGCCGCACGATTCAATCAAGGTTATTAGGAGGCAATCACATTACATGAACTATTAAGCTTCACTTCGATTGAGCTTCTGGGATTTGAAGATCAGATGATCATCACTACCAATTTTTGGTAGCCAGTCATTAGTTGCAGGATTGCTTTTATATCCTCCATGAAAATGAACTCTCCCATTTGCACCATCAATAAATCCAGTTTCAATACTTTCATTTTCTCCTCCTTCAATCCCCACCTGTATGAACCCACTCCCCCGTCTGCTTCCAGCTCCAATTTCCAATTCAATGAACACAATCAATTTCATCAAACACCCAACAAATTTTAATTTCAAGAAAAAGATGGAAACAGAACAAACCTTGTGATGCCGTTTCTCGACTGAATCCAACTCCTTGTAATACTGCGTCTCCACATACTCCTCCTGCACCAGCAACGAATCCCCCTCCCCCAAGTGCAAACCCTGTAACTAAAAATTTCTAAAAAATCAAACCCAGATCAAGATTCCGCAGAAATGAAGAAAAAAAAAAGAGGGGTAAAATCGAAGCCCACATGAGACTGGGACTGGAGATTTAGGAGCTTGTTGAGCTCGGGAATGGCCTGTTGTGAGGCGATCTCTTGAGGTGGGTTTTGTGGGGACGAATCGGGTTCGCTTCTGCTCGGTTTCGTGGGACGCTTGGGTGCGATGGAATCGAATTGGGCTCGAATCTGATTGGTGATCAGAATCTGATCTTCGTCGGCCAACACGACGTCGCTAAGGCTGGGCTTGCCCGCCGCGACCCGCCGCGCCATGGTAGCTCTGGTTCTGGTGGTGATGTTGTGGCGTGGGTTACGTAGGCAGAAAACCGTGGGCGACGGCGTTGAAAGTTTGAAAGTTGTTTTCTCTTTGGATATTTGAAAACGACTTGTTTTTGCACTCTAAGAGGCCTTTAAAGCATGAGTTGGGGTCCGGTGTGAGTTTGGGTTTTTAAAGCCCAATGCATGTTTTTAAGGGAGGAGTTATTGGATGGTTTCACAAGGCGGCAGGAATGACAAAAATGTATCTACTGTTTTATGTCGTGTGCATATATTCTTAAAGTGATTAAAAAAAATACAGGGTGGTCATCATCTTCTAGGTGTGGGTGGCCCACCAAAAAGGACAACAATTTTGGGCGAGGGGTGCACCTCACGGTACAAGATTCTGGCAGGCGGGGGTGGACGTTCATGACGTCTGGTGTTAAGCCTTGAGTTAAAAGGTGTATGTTGTCATGCAATCAATTGAGGTTGAAATTGTACGTGCATGCATATAATCAAGTGAAAATGCATATATTCTGCGTTCTAAGACTCGGGCACTTAGACTTAGTAAATGCAAGTAAAATCATGAGAATATGTTTGTTTTGCCTGGAAAATCAAGAATTGTTGATCAAATGCGCTAGCTACATTCTTGTTGAGATTCCCTGCTGCACCAAAATTCACCAGGTGCATTTCTTACCAAGACGTACATTTCAATTTATTTTGACCGAACATTCCATGAAAATCAAATGTCCACACCATTCTTGCTGAGATCACGCAAGAGGAAGTCAAAATTAGTTGATCCAAGATTGTTCTAACCTCCAAAATTTATCTCCAACAAAAAAGCATCCTCCAAGCTTATAAACACGTCGCAAAGAGATCATTTAGGAACCATTCCAAGCTTTTGTAGTTCTCTCTTTAGTTTTTTTTAGCCTAATTCTTGAATTCCAATGACATTTGATTTCGTTTATGGTTTATTTCCATGAGCTTTTCTATAATTTGCTTTGTACTCTTTTTGAAATTTAGTTGACTTTATTTTGTCTTCTGGTCTTGTAATTATTTTTCTAATTTAATTTAATGAATTTTTTTTGTTAATCTCTCTTATGATTTCGTTTATTCAATTGTCATGAGTAGCTAAATTACATTTTCAACTCTCCTACAAATATCTTAGTTTCCTTATCTTTTGAAGGTGAGCACATCATTTTCTCCCCTCTTACCTATCTTGATCGATATAATTCATCCAGTTGATTTACTTGTTGGTCACTCGTTTAAACCACATTAGCTTGAATTTAATTCTGAAAAGGTTAGAATCGAACAAGATTCTTCGAGATAAAACGGGAAATTACTTAGAAATAAGAACTAAAACAAAAACTAAGACATAGACTCTCTTACTCGTTAAACGAAAGTTGAAGTTTTCATTATTTAGAAATCTAGTATTTCATAGACGTGTGTAAATGCTAGCCTAAGCTTCTAAACAAACTAAAAACGGTATGGAATAGGAGTCAAATCAGTTTGCATAAAATGAGCGAAAATGTGTCTGACGCATCTAGTGGGTGTGTAATTTATCTATTTAAAACTAAGTAGTATTAGGGGGATTATATTGGCTTTCTAAATTATGTTTTCCTGGTATTTTTAAACTGTGTTCCCAACAATTCCAACTATTTTTCTCCTAAACCCGATTCAAGCAATTTGCAAATTTATTTGAAAAGGAACTAGTCCCTATGAGACGAATTCGATATACTTTCATAATTATTACTTGTGATAGTGTGTGCTTGCACTCTACCTCAAATTGTTAAGCAAATGTGCAACATCTAGTAGGTGGCACCTTCAACTGTCGTTCTATCCTCCATCCTGCTGTAGGCTGCAGGTTGCAACTTGCAACGTGCCTCTCGTGCAACTCCGATAGTGGTGTGCCCGTATAAGTCCACAGTGTATGTTTCTAATCGTCTATGGTCTCGTGTCCAGCTATCTTCCGCAATGCTCGACACGTCACCTGCTCGAATTTCTCCCTACACAGTTTCCATTCATCAAATCTCATCCCAACTCTAGCATCACTTTAACGAAAATACCTATATGATAGTTCTTAAATCAAAATAATCAAGATAAATTTGAATTCGCTTCTAAATCAAATAAACATTAAGTGAACATGAGCATAGTTCAACTAGTTAAGACATATATCATGGACCATTTAGAGGGTTGAATCTCAACCCATATTAAGAGAAAATTGAGCAAATAAAAAAAAATTATCGCTGCACTATTGGGTCGAGAGTACATTGAACCCAAACCTATTTTTCTTTC